GAGAGAGAGAGAGAGAGAGAGAGAGAGAGAGAGAGAGAGAGAGAGAGAGAGAGAGAGAGAGAGAGAGAGAGAGAGCTAATTGAATATCTTGTCTCACATTGCAGCAAAGGGTGAAGGTTATGCGGTGGAGGCGGAGAGAGCAGTCATCAGGAGGATGTTCAAGCAGTTTGGGTGCCATCACTGTGGAAGGCGCTCTGGCGGGTGGTCCGCATCAATAATCCCCAAACTAGGTTTCGTCTTGCCTCTCACTTTGCTGGACACAAATGCTGAATTTGCTGTCTCAACTTGTTAACTCTAAATCTGAACTCTGAGTCGATGTTATCTCCAATGCATTCTTTTTTTTTTTTTTCGGTTTGCATTTCTTTGAACCACCCAGCAATGCCCATGTTACTGCCTGTCCTCCATCTCACTTGGAATCGGGTAAGGGCCAGGCTCCACTGGTGCTAGCATGAACATGAACATGACCAGGGTAATGCTTTCGGCGGTCATTACAGGCCGGTACACCCACAGAAGACACTTTTTTATTTTTGTGAACTTGGACCATTTCTCGATTTACGCATGTCATCCTTGTGCAGGGGCCATGCTAATCTTCTCTGTACTGTTCCAATTTTAACGGATGTCCTGAAGGACACACCCGGAGAAGATTCTAGTGTGATTCTCCCCTTAGTTTACTGTCCGCATTTTTCCCTAATTATCCGAAAAAACTCAGGGAAGCAAAAGGCAGGTGCAAAGCATTGGCTGCAGTCATTACAGGCCGGTACACCCAGAGTATTCTGTTCAACTGCCAATGCCATTGAAGTTGATTCAACCAACAATCCCATAGACTCATCATTCATTGAGGAACCTGCCAATGCCAAGAATCAGACATCACGCAGTGTGGCCAAAGGTCTGACTCCCTGCTTTGGATAGGCTGTCACGCAGACCATAGAACCTATGCCCATGCTGGCAGACAAACACAGGGGCATAAAGAAAGAGAGACATAGAGAATGTTTTTTTTTATTTGCTTTTATAGTAGAACCTGTGCACAGGCTGGCAGACAAACACAGGGGCACAAAGAAAGAGTGAAACATAGAGAATGATTTCTGATTTTGCTTTTATCGAGTTACGTCCACTCTTGCTTTCTGAAGAAAAAGAGGTATATCCGTGTGGTTTCATACACGGATAAATAGATATATGTAGTTGGGAAAGGAGGAGGAGCGAGAGAACAAAAGAGAGAGAGAGAGAGAGAGAGAGAGAGAGAGAGAGAGAGAGAGAGAGAGAGAGNAGAGAGAGAGAGAGAGAGAGAGAGAGAGAGAGAGAGAGAGAGAGAGAGAGAGAGAGAGAGAGAGAGATGGTATGGGGTAGTATTGGAGTTTTCTGTTCAACTAATGGCGAATAGCAGTGTGTCTTCAGTGCAAGGAGGGAGGCGCAGCATCGTCCATGTCACAATCACACTCCATTCATCCTTGCAAATCGCTTCAACTTATTGGCGAACCATCGGCGTCACCGCAGGAGGAGGATTAGTAATGAAAGGAAATGAAAAGAAACAGAAAATGGAAACAAGTATGCCAGTGTCTTTACCTCTTTGATCAGTCCTCAATGCCCTTTTCTATTTGATATGAGCAGCTTTGGACTGCCAAAGCGTGCGTCTTTCATGCGAACTCCCCCACGAGTTTTCCGAAGACCCAATTTTTTTTACTATGGAAGCTCTGCTGGGCAGTGTTTGATTCCCTGAGAAATAACCACCCCAGTAACTTAGTTCTGACTCTTCTGAGCCATCAGGGCCAGTAACATCTTTACCACCTCTGACAAATAACCACCCCAGTAAGTTAGTGAGCCATCAGTCCCTTCATACTGCTCAGACATCTGTCTGGAGCAGACATAACCCTGGCATCCTAATGACCTAGTTTGAGAGGGTACGAGGCAGGGCCTGCTGGTGCTATGTCCTTGCTAGGAAACGCACAAACCTGCCGCTGATTGTACAGTCACACAGAATTTGGTTGTCGCAACGTATCGGTGAACATGTAATCATGCCAACGCTGCTTAGCCTGCAAATGTAACTTGTGCAATATTACGCAATATTGAATGTATATATTCAGTTCCTTCAGTTCCTTTGTCCAAATAATGATTTTGGCTGGTTGGTTTGGTCCCATCATCATGCTTGTGTTACTGAATATAACGCCCGGGCGTTATAAACGAATATAACGCCTCCCGGGCGTTATATTTGTATACGGGTGTTAGTTTCGGGTGCGGTGCCTTGCTTGTTTCGGGGTTGGGAATGTCTATAGATCATCTATACGTGTGAACTGACGTGTAAATGTGATTCTCTTCCTCATCTTGTGTGGCAGCATTGCGGACCATATGCCTCCAAACAAGCAGATGATTGTTATGCGGTCTAGATTGTCAATTGGCGCCTTGGGTCTTGGCCTCTTGAGATTGTTTTTCCCAGCAAAAGGGCAATTGAAAACAAGAGCAAAGGATGGGGTGACATTCAAAGGCAGCAGCAGCAACCCTGGTCAGACCAGGGGCTCGACGAATGCCATTCTGAGCGATGCAGCCAGAGCCATAGGGTTGGGAACAAAGAGTGGAAAAGCTGGTTCAGTGAGGAGATACGATGGCGATGCGGCGCGGGCTTCACGGTTTCAAGTTTTTCAGCGATTTTACCCCCAGTGCGAGAGCTGCTCCCAGAGGCAGAGTTCGGCAATGAAGCAAGAGCGCCATGTCTTGGTCATGCATTTCAAACGAGGTCGCCCAGAGGTAAGCACGTGGCTCGATCCCATGAGCTCTATTCCCTGTAGCATGTGCACCCTACCTGCTGTCATTGTCCTGTGGCACGTACTTCCACCACAGACTTGCATGCGTGTCTCTGTCCTATGGGAAGATGGCTCTTCGGGAATGAACAATCATGACACATTAATGGCGAACCATCTGTTGAAAAGGCCAGAGGTAGGATACTTGTCATTCTATCTTGGAAGGCATCCAAGCTAGAAATGAGACCATCGAGTTGCCGCATGGACTATGCATGACATCAGATTCGCCTCTCTCAAGTTGCCGCATGAAGTCTCCACGAAATGTCTCGCCACCCCAATCTCTCTCTCAAGCAACCTGGTTAGGTTCAGTGTCGACCCCACACGACCTAACCAGGTGGGGGCAGCTTCCCTTGGCCACGTTGCCCCTCTTCCCTGTGTATCTTTTGAACGGAGAACGGGCAAAATTCAACGCCCGTTCATCCATTTAACGGGCCCCTGGACCCCCGTTAAATCCCGTTTAACACAAAAACGGGGGCTTGGCGTTGAATTCCGAAAAACGGAATTCACGCTTTGGGCCTCGGACACGTGTGCCTACGTGCCCGAACACTAAAACCAGAAAAAAAAAAAAAAAAAATCACCCCCCCATTGACACCCCCCCCAAACACCCCTAAAGGACCGAAAAACCCCTATCTGACCCCGAACA